GTTTCTTTCTTCTTGCTGCTTTTTGGATCCTTTCTTTATTCTTGATCTTTGGAAGTTTGATTATTAAATGCCTTGAGGTAGGCTTCTTTGGATTAAATTGCTTGGTCTCTAAGGTGCATGACAGAGTTGGTGTTCTATAGCCTTCTTGTACTCAGATATTGATGTCTTTCTCTAGGTTTGGGAAGTTCTCTGTTATTATACCTTTGAATAAACTTTCTACCCCCATCTCTTTCTCTACTTCTGCTTTAAGGGCAGTAGCCCTTTCGAGGCTATTTTTTAGATCTTATAGGTGTGTTTCATATTTTATAAATTATTTTTTCTTTTGTTTTCTCTGACTGTGTATGTTCAAATTGCCTGTCTTCAAGTTCACTAATTCTTTCTTCTTGATCAATTCTGCCATTAAAAGGCTTTGATACATTCTTTAGTATGCCTGTTTCATTTTTCAGCTCCAGGATTTCTGATTCATTCTTTTTTAATTATTTCAATCTCTTTCTTAAATTTCTTTGATAGAATTCTGAATTACTTCCCTGTGTTATCTTGAATTTCTTTGAGTTTCCTCAAAACAGCTATTTTGAATTCTCTGTCTGAAAGGCCAGATATCTCTTTTTCTCCAGGATTGGTTCTTGGTGCTTTATTTAGTTTACTTGATGAAGTCATGATTTCTGGGATTGTCTTGATACTTGTAGATGTTAATCTGTGTCTGGGCATTGAAGGGTTAGGTATTTATTGTAGTCTTCCATGTCTGGGCTTCTGTGTACCCATCCTTCTCGGGAAGGCTTTCTAGATATTTGAAGGTACTTGGGTGTTGTGATCTAAACTGTATCTGTTTTAGGGGGCATTCCAAACCTAGTAATGCTGTGGTCCTGCAGACTCATGTAGCTATTGTTTTGATGATTTTGGACAAAATCTGGGAGAATTGTCTGGATTACCAGGCAGAGACTCTCATTCTCTTCCCTTACTTTCTCCCAAACAGTCTTTCTCTGTTCTGAGCCACCTGGAACTGGGGGTAGAGTGACACAAGCACCCCTATGGCCACCACCACAGGGTGAGACCTGAAGTCAGCACAGTACTGGGTCTCACCCAAGGCCTGCTTTAACCGCTTCCTGGCTACTGCCTGTGTTCCCTCATGGCCCTGGGGCTTGGTCCATAAATGCTGTCCAGGGGTCAAATCCTGAAATCAAGGAACTCAAAAGCCCACTTATCTGTCACCTTAGGTACCAAACTGGTCTCTAAGGTGCATGACAGAGTCCTCTTTACTTTTCCCTCTGCTTTTCTCAAGCAGGAGTCTTGCCCCGTAACCACCACAGGCAGGAAAGTGCCAAGTCTCGCCTGAAGCCAATAAGTCTGAGTCTCACCCAAGGCCCTTGATGTAGTATCTAGGTATCGCTGCTGGTTATTCAGGGCCCAAAGTCTCTTTAGTTAGCAGGTGATGAATGTTGCCAGGACTGGGTCCTTCTCTTGAAGGTAACAGGTTCCCTTCTGGCCCAAGGGTGTGTCTAGGAATGTCATCCAGGAACTAGGGCTTGGAATGGGGGCCTCACAACTCTGAGGGCTGTCCTGTCCCTGTCCTGCTGTGTCTGAGCTTGTATCCAGGAAGCAAGACTATGTGCTTCCCACTCTACCCTCTCTACTCTTAAAGGGGAGGGAGAGATCTCTTTTGGACCATGAACTGTGCAGCCTGGGGTTAGGGGAGGGGTGATGCCAGCACTCCCTTAGCTGCCCTAGCTGGTGTCTCAATAGGTCACATGTCCTCCCCACTCAACCAAGTCCTCTGGCTTTGGGCCCAGTTCAGCATGGGAACTTGCCTAGGAGTTACAGTGCTTGTGTCCTAGATGGCCTTTTGAGTTTATTTAGAGCCCCATAACAGTTCAACCTGCAGTGGCGAGCCTCTCAGGAACTCAAGTTCCGACCATTGGGATCAGTGGTTCCCTTCTGGCTACAGCTGGTTTAAATGCTCCTTCTGTAGGCAGGTGTCAGCTAAGTGTGGTCCAGTTTCCTTTCTGCTATAATAGGAAAACACACTGAGTTCAATGCCTCACAGTTGCCAGCTCTCCCTCTCCCCAAAGCACAAAAATGCTCTTTACACCACGCCATTTTGCCAGGAGATGGAGGAAGGGTGGCACTGGTGATTCAAGACTGTCCTACTTCTTCATTGTCCCCTTCAATGATACAAAGCCAAAACCAGACCACATATTGTGAGTGCTCACCTGATTTTTGGTTCTTATAAAGGTGCTTTTTCGTGTATAGATAGTTGTTAAATTGGTGTTGTGGGGGGACAGAATTGGTGGAGTCTTCTCTTCTACCATCTAGCTCTGCCTCCCAGCAGCAATATGTTGATCCATGTGGGGCTGTTTCCATTGTCCATTTCTTCCTGGGAATTTTTTTTTTTTTTTTGGCCAGATCATCTTGTTTCTTGGTATGCAGATTGTTTATTTATACCAAGAATTGAAATGATCTGAGCACTATCTTTGTGAGTGTTAGTCTATTGCCAGTTCAACTGTACTTTTAGAGTTAAGCCCTTTGGTAGTATCAGCCAAAATCAAGAGATCTTCCTAGGTGATCCCTACAGACCCTGTCCCTATAATTTGCTCAGCTCTCAGCCTCTTGTCCACCACTTAGCTACACTGAATATTGGGGTCATTCCTTTGGCCTTGCCTTCTCTCTGAGATTTTTGGCCTCCCAAGTCCTTGTTACTTTGGTAGCTCTCTATTCCCTTCCAAAAGAAGTCTTTTATTTTGTTAAACTTTGTAATTACTCTCAGTGAAAAAACTAGTCTGGAACAAGTTAGTCTATCATTACCAGAAAATTTAAATTACTATGGCTTAATGAAAATACAATATATTATGTTCTGGATGTATAGTCATTTACTATAATTTTCATAACTTGCCTACTTAAGTTGATTTACAACAGCCTACAAAATAGATACCTACTGTTATTTAGCCATAAAATATAAAGTTATGACAAGAGTGATAATGCTGACATAAAAGTAACTTTTAGATTTTATTTTGAAATGTCGGCTACATAAACAAATATTTGCTGGAAAATAAATGCTCTGCAATACAGCATGCTCTAATTTGCACATGTCAACTGACTTTTTTATAACAAACAGAAATTATTCTCTTAAAAATTAAGCACTTCATATCATAATTTCCAGGAGAGGAAAGCCATTCCAGCAACATGGACTGGCTTGCTGCCATTCCTGCAGCTGCCTCACCTTTCACTGTAACAGTGCTGAGAGCAGCAGGATACTTGGTTTTGGACACTTTGCCAATAGCAATACAGTGTTTGACAATAGTAATACAATATTTGCTCAGCTCTAACCTTTCTACATCCTCTTTCTTCTTCTGATATTGTAATAATGGTCACTAATATAGGAATCTGCAGCCACCAGAGATGTCCCCAAGCTTTTCATACTCTGTCCTCTTTTCCTAAACCACCCTTTCTCTTCCTCACTCATCCGTCAATGTTTAGATCAAGCATCTTTGTGAAAATTTTTCTGGCTCCATGTTCTCCAGAATGGAGTTAATCACATCCTCATCTAAGCTGGAACTATATTTTGAGTGTATTTCTATTATTACATGTATCCTATTTCCTGATAAATACATATATGCATTTGTTTTTTTACACCAAGATATGAGTACACTTTGCCTAGTACATGGTGCTTAGTAAACCAGGAAGAGAAGGAAGAAAGAAAATGAAACAACAAGAAAGAATAGAAGAAAGGAGGCAAGGAAGGAGGAAGGGAAAAAATAAAAAATATTATTACTTCTTTTTTCTTTTTTTGCTCAATGGGACCGTGATGAAATAACCAACTTGTGGTACGTTTAGATCCTAGAAATTATGGCCCAAGTTGGGAAAATGTCTGCTCTTTCCATAGTTAACAAACCAAATGGAAGAAATGCGTTTGACTTTTTTTAAAAAAAATTGTTTGGTACAGGTAGATTAGATGACCTTAAGTAAGTAGTTGACACCTGGAATAAGTAGAAAGAATTAACTGCCTCTGACCTAAGAGGGAAAGATGATCTCAATAAGGAGATTATGATCATGAATTGGAAGGCCTCTGAAGTCAGACAAGACTCCTGGAATCTGGGATTCACCCTTTGCTAGCTGTGTGACTTTGGGCAGCCTACCATCCACAGGCTTCTATTTCTGCATTACATGAAGTGAGCATAAAAATACTTATCTTGTAGTTGTGATATAGTCTACATTGGATGAGATAACCACACCTAGCTCAATGCTAGGCACAGGTCATTTGGATGTTTAGATATTAGCTTCTTTTTCCATGCCTAGCAAGTACTGACTTAAATTATCTATCTGTCTATCTATCTATCTATCTATCTATCTATATTTTAGAACATGTATATATGCAAATATATATATTTTTATATATGTATAAAATATATAAATATTTAATAATTTTTATATTATAAAATATAATTTTATAATATTTTATAAAATATGATATAATTTTTAAAATTATAAAAAAATATAAGTGAAATTGGCCTGGGAGGTAAGTAGGAAATGAGTTGTGAAGGGGTTTGTACCAGCTCTCACATATTTTGATTTATAATTAGTCTGTTGGGATTTTCTTTGGGATAAGTCAACTCTCCATACAGTGAACATTCCAGGGAAAACTGGTAAAATACAGTTTCTCATCCATGTAATTTGAGGGCTGTAGATTATAGGCACCTCCACAAGATGACAGGAAGACTCGCTGAGGGCAAGGACCTTGTCCAATTTAATGTTAGGTCCTAAGTGTGGAGCAGAGACTGGCACAGAGGTGGTCAGTGAGTTTCATTGGAAGAACAAATTCATGAAACCACACTCAAGACCCTGTCTGAGCCAAACTGCTGAATTTACATCAACAGCAAAGCCCAGAACTCCTTGTAGAATTTTGCTCTAATGTCATCTTTTTAAAACCTGCATAAGCATCAAGCAGGAAACAAGTGGACTTCATTTTTCTTGACTTTCTTCACATTCCCATTTTCTCTCAATCTTAGGAAGCTTTTTCAGCTTTGTGACTAAGAGACAGCCAGCCTTTCAGCTGGGTGAGCTTTCCAGTTGCATGAGAAAGAGCTTCATCAGAAACCACCTACATTCTTGCCATTCGAAAAAATAGAAAAAAAGAAAGAGAAGAATATAGAAAGAATTGCTTCTCCTCTAAAAAAAACAGGTATTTTTGCTTTCTCTTATGCTGACTTTATTTTTGTGAGTTATTAACTGTATGCTTTAAATTTTGTCATTTTTGTGATTTATACAGTTCTAGATAAAATACTGTTTAAAATCACACAAAGCATAAAAGATGGTACACAAATACAATGAAAATTTAGAGATAGCTGTCCCATCTGAACTCAAAAGGAGAAACCCCACTGGGAGCTGACTACTACAAATAATTTAGTCAGCATTTGGCAGCCCCAGAAAATTACAAACCTGGAAGATAACAAACAATATTATGTGCATTGCATAGTAGAGCATCAGTCATGCTTGATATGAGAAAAAACCTTTTTAGTAAAAGGAATTAAAATTATGAAATAGAGTTGTGTACATAAATGGGAACTGTCTAAAAACTATTAAGTAAAAATGTGTTTTTCCTCTTTTGAAGCCCATTTGAAACTAACTTTGTAAACTTCATTTCGAGTTTACAATTAGGCAGGTATTTTATATTTTAAAGAGTCCTATTCACTTAAATTCCCAAGGCTGACAGAAAATTAAGGTACCTGTATTGTTTAGTAGAACATGGCAAAAATTTGGTTTCATATTTGTTTCAGGTGAGCTATCACATTCCAAAAAAGTCGGTGTCTGGTTTGGGAAGCTGATTCATGGAGACTGACGTCAACCTGGTTCTAGCCTCTGGGCCAAAAAGAATCATGAAAGAAGTGACTTCCTCAATGACCTGATGTGATGTCAGGCTTAATCTGCCACAATCAACTGGTGAACAGTCCTTGGATGGTTTCATAATGGTGCAGAAGAGACCTTGTCCACCTCCAGTAGCAGAAAAAAGTGACCAAGCAAACAGCCCGGTAACAGAGCCAGTCTACATTTTTTTTTTTTTTTTTTTTTTTTTTGGCAGTTGCAAGATTTAATAGAGTGAAAACAGAACTCCCATACAATGGGAGGGGACCCAAAGAGGGTAGCCATTGCTGGCTCGAATACCTGGGTTTATATCCCGATCATTGTCCCTCCTGCTGTGCTCTCAGGCGATAGATGATTGGCTATTTCTTTACCTGCTGTTTTTGCCTAATTAGCATTTTAATGAGCTCTCTTTAGTACCTGATTGGTCTGGTCGAGTGTGCGCTAAGTTGCAAGCCCCGTGTTTGAAGGTGGATGCGGTCACCTTCCCAGCTAAGCGTAGGGATTCTTAACCTGGGAAATCCAGCTAGTCCTGTCTCTCAGTTCCCCCTCTCAACAGGAAAACCCAAGTGCTGTTGGGGAGGTTGGCTGACAACCGCTCTGCTTAGTGCTGAATTGGGGCGTAGTAGGGGTCGTGCAGTTGAGATTTCCTCAGGTGGGGTTCCTTCGATGTCATCAACATCAGAGCATGGGCTATCAGGCTGGTCCAGGGGTCTGTGGTAGATCTTAGTCATGGATTGTATCTGGGGCTCCATTTGAAGAACTATTTGTGTTTTACAGCTTTGATTCTGGAAGAGACAAACTTAACAAGGAGGTTAAAGATACAGGGATTGAAATGTATGGCCTGCAGTGTAGGGGATTATTTCTTTGGCACACTTCACAGGCCCTGACTATCTGCTTGATAGTTTTGAAAAGGACTGGTCCAGTAAATAATAATTTGGCCATCTGATGGGTGTTATCAATGTCTAAGTGAAAGGTTTGGTGAAGGGTTTTAAGTAATTTCCATTGGTTAGCTGCTGGCAAAAGTATTTTTCCTTCTTCAGTGGCTAGCCATCCTGAGGGGAAGAAACTATGTCCTTGTGAGTTTCCCCCATTCTATTTCTCTTGCTGAGTACTGGGGCTTGGTTTCCAGAAGGGAATTACCCCATACTAGGGATCCTTCTCTAAGCATTTCTAATGGAAGGTCCTGTCTTGTGGCTCTTTTGGCTTCAATATCTAATAGGCAGTTCCCTTCTATTTCCCTTTCCTTTCCTTTCTGATGACCCTGGCAGTGTAAGACTGCCACCTCTTTAGGTTTCTGTACAGCCAATAACAATCTCCTAATGGCTTCCTGATGTTTGATAGCTGTTCCCTCAGAAGTTAGGAATTCCCTTTCTCTCCATGTTGCTGTGTAGGCATGGAGGACTAGGTAAGCATACTTAGAGTCTCTATATATATTTACCCTTTTTCCTTCTCCTAATTCTAGTGCCCAAGTGAGGGCTATTAGTTCTGTCAGCTGAGCACTAGTTCCTGGAGTGAGGTGATTACTTTTAAGTATTTCATATCACTGACCACTGCATACCCCACTTTCTGAAGTCCTTATTCTACAAAGGAACTTCCATCAGTATACAAGTTGAGATTGGGATCAGTCAAGGGAACCTCTGGAAGGTCCCCTTTGAGCGGCGTAGGTTTGAGCAATTACTTGTTGACAGTTGTGTTCTATCTTTTCTTCATTGTCTGGAAGAAATGTGAGTGGGTTACAAGTTGCACAAGTGTGCAGTCGCAGCACTGGCCCTTCAAGTAATAGAGCCTGATATTTAAGTAAACGGTTGTCTGACAGCCACAAATCTCCTTTAGCAGTGAGTATGCCATTCACATCATGAGATGTCCACACAGTAAGATCTCTTCCCTGTATTATTTTAACTGCTTCAGATACTAAGACTGCTACTGCCGCCACTACCCATAAACAATGAGGCCAACCCTTTGCCACTACATCAGTTTCCTTACTCAGGTATGCCACGGGTTGCAAGCTCATCCCTCAGACCTGTGTAAGGACTCCTAGAGCTATTTGTGTTTTTTCTGTGACACATAAAGACTAGGCCTTGGGCTTTTAGGTCCTTAACAATCTTTTGGAGTCCTTGTTGGGCCTCGGGTCTAAGGGGGTACTGCCTTTGGTAGGGAAAGGAGGCGGAATCCTTCAGTTTAACTTGAATAGGATGGGCATTCTTTGCTCGTCCATGTTGTCCTTCTGTTGCCTAGACTTCAGGATTAATTACTTCCTCAAGCAGGGGACAACAAACGAGTGTTCCTTCTCCTATGTTGAGGTGTCTAATGGCCGCTGCTTTTGCTAGAATGTTTCTCCCTAACAAGAGAGTGGGACTTTCAGGCATAATTAGAAAAGCATGTGAAAAGAGTAAAGTTCCCCAGTCACAACTTAATGACTGGGAGAAGTATCTAGTGACTGGCTGTCCTAGGACCCCTCAGATAGTGACAGATCTGGAGGACAGTTGTCCGGGACAGGAGAGTAAGACTGAGAAGGCCACGCCAGTGTCCAGGAGACAGTTAACCTCCTGGCCCTCAATGGTCAAGCATACCCGGGGCTCTGTGAGGGTGATGGCATGGGCTGGCGCTTGCCCCGGTACCCTCAGTCCTGCTGCTGGATCATCTGGTCAGTGGCCTCTGACTCAGAGGACCTTCGTCCCCTGGGGCAGTGGGCCTTCCAGTGATTCCCTTGACATAAGGGGCATGGAGGAGGGGGCAGCTTATTTCTATTTGGACAATCTTTTTTAAAGTGTCCTTGTAGACTGCAGTGGAACCAAGCCCTATTAGGCATTCGATTTGCCCAGCTTTTCCCTTTTCCAGAGCCTCCAAAGTCCACTTGCCTGAGGGCCGTGACTAAAGCGGTTTTTTAATCCCATTTGTCCCATTCCGCCTGCTCCTCCTGATCTCTATTATAAAAAACCGAGGTTGCCAAGTTCAATAGGGTTCCTAAGTTTTGCTCTAGGCCTAAGGCAGACTTTTGAAGTTTTTTCCTAATGTCTGCAGCTGACTGAGTGATAAACTTAACCTTTAAGATTAGTTGGCCTTCAATAGAGTCAGGTGACAGAGAGGTATGCTTCCTCAATGCCTCCCTTAGTCTCTCCAGAAAGGCGGTAGGATTTTCTTCCCTTCCCTGTGTCATAGTGGACATCATTGAATAATTCACAGGCTTCTTCCTAGTTTTCCTTAGTCCTTCTAGCACGCAAGTTAGCAAATGTCTGCGGCACCAATCTCCATGTTCTGATTCTGTGTCCCAATGAGGGTCTACACTGGGAACTGCCTGCTGGCCTGTGGGGAATCGTTCTCTTTCCTCTGTAGTCATCCTATCGTTGACCTAACAGATACTGGAGATCGCCAAACTCTCGGGCTGCAGTTATGGCGGCACTTCTCTCATTTGGGGTTAGTGTCTGATCTAGCCAGTAACATTATATGTCTCCATATCAGATCAAAGGATTGTCCTAACCCTTGTAAAACATCAATATAGCCATCAGGGTTATCTGAGAATTTACCCAGGTCTATTTTAATTTGCTTCAAGTCTGAGAGAGAAAACAGTACATGCACTCTGGCTGGGCCGAATTCTTCTCCTCACACCGCTTGGAGGGGCATAATCGGGGAATGTCGGCACTCTTTGGTTCATTGTTTACCCCTTTGTCTCCTTTTGGATGTTTGGGTTGAAGGGGGGTCCTTTATTAGTTGGGGAAGGAGTCGGGGGGAAGCCGGGGTAGGGAGGTGGACTCTGAGGGCTTCCTGTAGGGCATAAATCACACTTTTTACATAATTGCAAGTTGTCTCTTAATGAAAAGAAAGTTTGTACATATGGCAGTTCACTCCATTTGCCTCCTTTTCTACAAAAGTGTCTAGCTGTAAGATGGTGTTATAATTTATACTTCCCTCAAGAGGCCAGGTTTCTCCCCCTTGAAGAGGATATCGTGGCCTGGCGGTACTGCAGAAGAATATAAATCATTTCTTTCTTAGTGTCTGAGGGTCAAATTGGTCCCAGTTCTCCAGAATACATCTTAGGGGCATTTTTGCCTTGGGGGGAACATTTCCCATTGCTTTGGAGGTCCCATCTGGGTCACCAAATGTTACCGGGGGGGTGGTCCTTGCTCCCAGAGCTCCCAAGATGGTGGAGGGCTGCTTCCAAGATGGTGGAGGACTGCTTCCAAGATGGCGGTGGGCCGCTTCCAAGATGGTGGCAAGCCTTGTGTTCTCTGACCTGGGGTTCTTGGCCTCATAGATTCCAAGAAATCTTGGGCCATGCGGTGAGTATTATAGCTCTATTAGAAGCCATGGGTCACAGTGACTAGTGACTAGTTTTCAGCTCGATTAAGACAAACCCAGGCACTTAGCCATGTAGGAACAATGGCAAGTCTTTAGCCTGATCAGGAGTGGCAATGGGTGCCTCACTGGATCAGGAGCACAGCGGACACCCTGCTGGATCCGGAGGGATGGAAGTCAGCGGGTCTGCGACAACAGCAAACAGCAGTGGTGGATGGTGAGTGAAAGCTCAGCTCAAGCCATAACAAACACAGACCAGAAGAGTGTGCAGTTGCGAAATTTAACAGAGTGAAAACAGAGCTCCCATACAAAGGGAGGGGACCCAAAGAGTGTAGCCCAAGCCAGTTTAAATTCTTAAAGGGATTCAGCATCTGCTGGGTTAGATCAGAGGCCATGGAAAACGGAAGCAGGAGAGAGACCAAGACTAGACCACTAGTCATTCACTAGACCAGGACTTCTTCTTAAGCATGGCTGAACATTAAAATAACCTGGAGAATTTTAAAGCATTCTGATACCTAGGTCCCAACCCCAGAAAATTTCAATAAATTGGTCTGGGGTGGAGCTTGAGAACAACAGTGTTTTAAAAGCTCTCCAATATGATTCTAATGGACACCTAGACTTGAGAAACACAGCACTAGAGGATCTTGAGGGCACGCTTATTCACCACTGCTCATCAAGCATGTGCTGTATAATACCCAGCTCATGGCACATGAGAAATCGTATTGGGTTGAACAAAGCATAGTAAAAACCAAACATTTCCTTCTAAAGTGGGATCTGCAATGTTGCTGCTTCAAGTCCTCCTTTTGTTTCTCCAAGCACCTTTTTTTTTTTTTTTTTTTGGTCCACATGCATGTACACTTATTTAACTGGGTCC